CCTATTTAAATAATCCTCCCATGCACTTCTTTCATAGATTTACAGTTAACTGTTGTTGTAAAATGCGCCTATCTAACAACTCCATTTATCCTTTGGCTTTGCATGCTAATTTTTTTTTAAAAAATCTGAACTATTAGAATATTCATAAACATTCCACAACTTCTCAGTAGCTGAGCCAATGGCAAGACGTGACACCTTTCAGTCAATGAAGCCAGAATTTAGAACCAATAAATTATTAGAGCAGCTAACATTAGTTACAAGTTTAAACTTTCTTTTATAGTATGGAATTTTCTCCTTTTTAGATTTGCAAAACTAAAAGTTCTGGGTTGTTGCTGTTTTTAAAAAGGAAATAGTATTAAAGAGTTGTTTAATTTAGTGTAGCTTAGTTTAGCATTTCACTATTTCCTTATTTTTTTGTTTATTATTATTTAGAGAGCCATCTGATTCCTAATACTTCTGGATGGCTCACAATTTTAAAAAGTTAACAACAATGCAAAAAAAAAACACCCCAAAAACAAAAACAAGATCAAGCATAGCTCAAAGATAAATATATAAACAAAGGAAAAACTATCCGACTGATAAGCCCTCTGTAAATATCAATTTCTTGCTGTTCTCAACACAAGTTTTGACCAAAAAAATCAAACACCAGCAAAACTCCTATATATTAGATGTTTTGGAATAATATACTGAGGTTCAGGATTGGTGGAACCTCAATTCTGTTTTCATCCATCTCCTTCTCTCTAACTATATGTACGTATTCCTGTTTTTTGCAATAGGTCAGCATTATCTTAACACTGCTGGTGCCGTACAATGACATTGATACAGAATCGCCCCTGATGGAGATGTTTGTTGCTCATGGGTTTTACACGGCCAAGTTCATAGTTGCTATTGGATCCGTTGCCGGGCTCACCGTGAGCTTGCTGGGCTCCCTCTTCCCAATGCCTCGAGTAATTTATGCTATGGCTGGTGATGGTCTTCTCTTCAGGTAAACAGTCAACATATCTACACCACATTGATAACCACAATCCAAAAAAAAAAATATGAATATGCCTAAAACAGTTTTAATCCTAACAAGAAGGTTGAGGTTCTCCTTGGATAGTTGCTTTCTTCAATGCTGAGATAACATCGCAAAACAGTTACGCAGAAACATGTGCGGAATATTTTCAGACAGTGGGGTGAATGTGATGGCCTTCCCATATTCTTCTCATCATCTGATGGCTTCAGTGGAGAGAGGGTTGTGATTTGTTTCTAATTCAAATTTCCCACTAAGTTCAACCAGAAAATTCTAATTTTATTTATCTATAGCAAAAAAAAAACAAAAAAAAAACCCCGGCTTTGCCCGGGTATTTATTTATAGGGGAAAAATGTCTGGACCAAATGTAATTTCTAATGTTGGATATGCCCCTTTACCAGAGCGAGCCCCCTTGTGGAATACTGTGAAGCTGTTACCATGGCAACTCCAGTGTGCTGTACATAGAAGCCATTTTACAGCAGTACAGTAGAAGTCATTTAAGGCACAACAAGCTGTATCTTAACAGAACACACACCCCAAAGGGTTTTAGGGGTGTCTTACTCCCACAGTATTTGTTTCCAGAGAATAAGTCATCAGTGTACCAAGTTTGGTTAAAATTGCTTGAGGCTTTCCAGAGTTATGCTGGAACATACACATACACAGCCGTTTTTTTATATATAAATTTAGAAAATGTATATGGCCACCCACTCACTAACAGTGACTCCGGTAGCTTACAAACATTAAACAATCAAGATAATAAGTCAGGATCTTCTCTAAGTTCTTTGGCTCAAATATAATGGCAATTCTAATTTATATTGCGATCTGCTCACACTCTCACGAGGAGAGAAGAGGAGTACGTGAATGCATATTAGTACAATTCTTATCCATAATTCATCAATCATGAATGAATTCATGGACAATGAGGCATTGTCTATTGCCATGTAAATATTCCACAGTCACTGTGGTTCAAATGAGCATATAATTGAATTTTAGCATATTTGGCCTATATCTAAAATCTAAATAATATGAAATGCTTATTTGAGAGTTGAAAGGTTTAGTGAGAAGGGACATGCATCGAATCCAAATTATGAATATTGCTAGGCCAGTAGTGTGTGCGAGAGAGATAGAGGGCCAGCCATTTCATGTGGAGAAGCCAACTGAATTGGGCTTTGACTCATTTCAATATCACTAGGGTCTTTCAGAGGGCAGAAAGTTAAATTAGCAATGCAAAGGATGCTATTTGCAAAACTCAATTCTGTACGCTAAGAAAGAGAAAGTTTAGAAGGAATAGTTGGACATCATTCTCTATTTCCCCACTCTCTCCTTCTGCTAAATGTTAACATAGGTCTGTGTGTATCTTGGAGCAGTTGAGTTCTTTTTCCCATCCTTTTTCCTTACAGATACTTTCCCTGCCCCATAAGCAAATAAAATAAATAAAGTGAGCTGCACACCGGGATATTGGAGGTCGGATTGACCTTATGCCCTATTCGTCATTGAAAGTTTTAAGGACGTTTTCAGGCTTTCCTTCTGATGTGTAACATGGTACAGTCTCTTTCTTCATCATGTTGTCCTCCAGATGCATGGAGAATAAATCTTACAGAATTCCAAGTCAATATAGCTTTGATCTAGTCTGCCTAGGAATTTTATAGTCTATCTCAGCAGTGTCAAAACTCGATTTCATAGAGGGCTGCATCAGGGTTGTGTTTGACTTTAAGGGGGGGAGTGGGCATGGATGGGGTGGGTGTGCTAGGGTGGGCATGGCCAGCTTGACATCCTGCAGCCCTCTGCCAGGGAAAATGGAGCCTGGAAGGACCACGCAAGCTGGCAGAGGCACTGCGGGCCAGTCCTTCACTGTTTCCAGGGCAGCCCCATGGACCAAATCTAAGCACCCCATGGGCTGGATTTAGCCCATGGGCCTTGAGTTTGACACCCTTGGTCTATCTCTACACACCTGAAGGACAGTAGGTCATGAAATCCTATCCTACCCAACTCTCTTTGCATTGCCAGTCATTAATATTAAGCAGGGAGTTGATGATAAGTAACTTTCCTTCTTTTCTCCCTAGATTCTTGGCCCATGTAAGCTCTTATACTGAGACGCCTGTAGTAGCGTGCATTGTCTCGGGATTTCTAGCAGCACTCCTCTCCTTGCTGGTGAGCCTGAGGGACCTGATAGAGATGATGTCCATTGGTACTCTGCTTGCCTACACATTGGTCTCCGTGTGTGTCCTCCTTCTGCGCTACCAGCCAGAGAGCGATATCGACGGCTTCGTCAAATTCCTTTCTGAAGAGCACACAAAAAAGAAAGAAGGGATTTTAGCTGACTGTGAAAAAGAAGTTTGCTCTCCAGTTAGCGAAGGGGAAGATTTTGCCGGACCCCCCACCAACACCTGTGGCGCAAAGAACCTCCCTTCCTTGGGTGACAATGAGATGCTAATTGGAAAATCAGACAAGTCCACCTACAACGTCAACCATCCCAACTATGGCACAGTTGACATGACCTCAGGAATAGAAGCAGACGAGTCTGAAAACATCTATCTCATCAAGCTGAAGAAATTGGTAGGACCACGATATTACACTATGAGAATCCATCTTGGACTGCCAGGGAAAATGGACAGGCCTACAGCAGCTACAGGCCAGACTGTTACCACCTGTGTACTCCTGCTGTTTGTCCTTATGTTCGTCTTCTGCTCTTTCATTATCTTTGGAGTGGACTATCTTTATGACCAAAGCTGGTGGGCTATTCTTCTGGTGGTCCTCATGGTTCTGCTGATCGTTATGTTGGTTTTTGTCATACTTCAACAGCCAGAAAACCCCAAAAAGCTGCCTTACATGGCCCCCTGCCTGCCTTTTGTTCCTGCATTCGCTATGCTCGTGAACATCTATCTCATGCTGAAACTTTCAAAGATCACTTGGATACGGTTTGCCGTCTGGTGTTTTGTGGGTATGTCCTGAATTTGAAATGGGAGTAATCAAAGCAGCCTTTCCAAAAATAGGGCTGGACTGAAACTTTTAATTCCTATCTTCTTCAAAGGTTTTTCTTGATTTGAGGATACATTCAGTGTTAGGAGCCATGCAGGTGCAGTGGTTAGAATGCAGTATTGCAGGCTAACTGCCCTCAGCCAGGAGTCCGATCCTGGCTGGCTCAACGTTGACTCAGCCTTCCAGATTGTTGGGGGTAAAATACTGACATTGTAAACCTCCCAGACAGTGTGATAAAGCACTGTGGGGTGATATATACCACATTTTTTGGAGTATAAGATGAACCGCAGTATAAGACTCACCAAGATCTTGAAGAGGCAAATTGAAAAAAAAGTTTTTGCACTCTGCAGACCCCCTCCCAAAAACGGCCCATTTTTCATGAAAACGGGCCTGTTTTTTGTCAAATAAAAGCATGCATAGCCTTTAGGAGGCTTGAAGAGTGCTCCTGGGGGCTGGGGGGGCGAAAACAAGCAAAAAATGGCCCGTTTGTTGCTCATTTATGCCCTCCCTAGCCCCTGGAGCACTTTGGAAACCTCCTAAAGGCTATGCACAACCATTTTTGCAAAGGGGGTGTGATTTCAGGAGCCAAAAATTCTGTATTCAGTGTATAAGACGCACCCAGATTTTCACCCTCTTTTTTGAGGGAAAAAGGTGCGTCTTATACTCCAAAAAATACAGTAGGTTTAAGTGCTATTGATATCGCTATTTGGAAGCACCTTGTCTCAAAACCAGGGGTGGGTTCCTGCCAGTTCTAATCTCTTCTATAGAAGAGGTTCCACAAATCTACAGTGCCGTTTAGACCCGGTTCCAGCTCCCTCCCCCCGCCTGTCCGGACATCATCAAGATGAAGAGCGAGAGGAGGAATTCTGGGAGTTGAAGTCCACAAGTCTTAAAGCTGTCAAGTTTGAACACCCCTGGNAGATGAAGAGCGAGAGGAGGAATTCTGGGAGTTGAAGTCCACAAGTCTTAAAGCTGTCAAGTTTGAACACCCCTGGAGTTTTTTCTAAAGGGTTAGGTATGCAAGGGTCTTGTAACTTGACAGCTTTAAGACTTGCGTGCTTCAAATGCCAGAGTTTCTGAACCAACATTTTGGTTTCAAGGCAAGAGCGTTGTTAAGTGAAAACCACATTTTAGAAGTTGGCCATGCCCACCTAGTCACATGGCTGGCAAGCCACTCCCACTCGGTTACATGGCCGGCAAGCCACTCCCACAAAGCAGGCCACACCTACAGAAGAGGTTCTAAAAAATTCTGAACCCCACCACTGCTCAAAAGCCTAAGTAGCTAACAGTGAAAACGTTCAGGCAATTCTCCCTGGCTTTGAAAATCGCCGTTTATAAAGCTATGAAGAAACATCATGTCAGCTATCTGTAATTCAGCTGTCTGAAACCTATTGTTTTCATTAGCATAGAGAAAGGAAATCTCTAATTGGCTTTTCCAAAATCATTTGACTCACCATCCTGAAGCATAAAGTGATTCCCGATATAGGTAAATAAATAAATACCTATAAATACTAATAAACAAACAAACAAACAATAAAACACAATTTATGACGCAGTCTACATTGTCTGAACCCCGCTTGTTAAGTCACAGTTAAACAATGACATTAATGAATGAAGTATGAAATGCCTTCACATAACTTCACTGGATTGAAAAATAAATTATCTGGGACTATTCTAGACTATATTTACTATTGGAGCCTTAAATGAAATGGCCTCTTGTTTAGTCACATCCATTACTTACATTTTCACTGCAAATGCAGATTACTTCTTTTAATGGCTCTTTTTTAATCTCTGCTTTTCTACGGCTAGTTTTTGAATAACCTAGAGAGAATGGGTAGCCTCTCTGATTTTTTAAAAAGTTTATTAGGTGATTCATGTACCATATTTTTCAGAGTATGAGACGCATCTTTTTCCCTCAAAGAAGAGCCTGAAAATCTGGGTGTCTCTTATACACTGATTATACTATTTTTTTGCCTCCCAACACCCCGCCCCCTTCACCAAAATGACTGTACATAGCCTTTAGGAGGCTTATAGAGTGAACTTAGGGGCTGGGGAGGGCCCCCCGCGCCCCAGGAGTACTCTATAAGCCTCCTAAAGGCAATTCATGCCCTCTTTTTTGAGAAAAAAATGGACCCATTTTGGGGAGGTCTGCAGAGTGCAAAAACGTTTTTTTTTAAATTTCCCTCTTCAAAATCTTGGGGCGTCTTATGCGCCTAAAAATACGGCAGTTTGTTTTAATCATTTTCTTACAAAAAACATAGAAGTGGGAAAGCTTAAAGAAAGGGGAACAACATTGTTCTTCAACATTGTTCCTTTTCTGCCTGGGTGTCTTGTTTTGTAGCTGAACAATGTAATAAATAGTACATATTTTGGTGGGGAGAAAGAATTCATTGTGGAAGAAGCGGGAACAACAGAACATGAGGCAATTATATAACTATTGGGCGGTATATATATTCCATACTTGAGTTGTAAATATTATAAAGTAAACTATTCAAGTTTATGGCAGTGAACACAGTGGACCTCTGTGAGTTGCCCTCCTCTAGGCTCTTCATACTCAGGAGATGACCTTGTTCTCTGCCAGGCTATGAGGTAACACGATTTGCAGCAGCGAGGCACTTCTTGTTGCCTCAGATACACAACACACAGTTCAAGTTGCCTAAAGCAACCTTTCTGTATTTATTGAAGTGTACAATCTTTTTCCAGGCATTGAGATTGCCCTGAGAGACCTCAGAAACAAGGCCCAGTGAAGCAATATGACTTTTTCAAAGGGGGACTAGACATTCTTGTCTTTTTTTTCTCTCTCCTTGAAAACATTCTACTTCTCATCCAAGAAGCTTCTTCATTTCAGACCAAATGGGGGAGAAAAGAAGGATTTATATTCTTTGTAGTCATGTGGTTGTTAGCATTCAGAAGGTCAGTTGTTTGCTCTCTGTGGCGGCCACTTGGGGATTTATCCAGGGGTGGGCTGCTACAGGTTCACCCAGGTTCAGGAGAACCTATAGCAAACATTATGGCCAGTTCAGAGAATCTCCAAAAGTGACTGTCAAAGTGATATCCTTCCAAAGCTTTTGTGTAGTCCTAATGTAGGAAAATAAATACATAAGAGTCATGGTGGTGCAGTGGTTAGTGTGCAGGACTGCAGGCTACTTCTGCTGACTGCTGGCTACCTGCAATTTGGGAGTTTGAATCTCACCAGGCTCAAGGCTGACTCAGCCTTCCATCTTTCTGAAGTTGGTAAAATGAGGACCCAGATTGTTGGGGGCAATAGGCTGACTCTGTAAACCACTTAGAGAGGGCTGTAAAAGCACTATGAAGCAGCATATAAGTCTACGACAGAGGTGGTATTCAGCAGGTTCTAACCAGTTCTGGAGAACCGGTAGAGGAAATTTTTAGTAGTTCGGAGAACCGGTAAATACCACCTTTGATTGGCTCCACCCCCATCTATTCTCTGCCTCCTGAGTCCCAGCTGATCAGAAGGGAATGGGGATTTTGCAGTGACCTTCCCCTGAAATGTGGTGGGAATGGAGATTTTACAGTATCCTTCCCCTGCCACGCCCACCAAGCCACACCCCAACCACCAAGACACACCCACAGAACCAGTAGTAAAAAAATTTGAATCCCACCACTGGTCTAAGTGCTATCACTACAATCCTTTTTTTTCTTGCTCCTGGCTTTGTCAACTGACCATGATTAAAATATAACACGGCGGACACGGTACACAAACAAAGTCATTGATGGGCCAAATTCTCTTCTCTTTTTCCTCAGGGCTGCTGATTTATTTTGGCTACGGCATCTGGAACAGCACGCTGGAAATCACAGCTCGAGAAGAAGCTTTGCACCAAAGCACTTACCAGCGTTACGATGTTGATGTGGATCCGTTCTCCATTGAAGAAGGATTGGACTCCGCTGGGAATGAAAAATATCAGGACTGGGATCCTGCTGATGACAAAGGTTTCTCTTATCAACAGATGGCTGAAGGAAAGGAAAGCAGCCGGACAAGTAGCAAATCAAAGAACAAAGCCAAACACAAACCGAACTCGGATGCATTGATCTCCAATGATGAGTTAGACTACTCGCCAGAGTAGATGCGATAGAAACACAGCCATGTCATTTTATTTTATTTGGTCACTTGGGCTGAAATTCAGGGGCTGCATTCACACAACAACTGTTCAACCCAGTTACTGGATTCACCCATTTGGGGGACTAATAGTATGAACCACGATGGCCTAACTCAGTAAGCATTTCCACAACGTGGCAAGCTTCATGAGTTTCATGCAAGCTCAACATATTGTGCAAATGCATTTGTTAGGTCTTTAATTGACCCAGTTAAGAGTGTTGTGTGAATCGAGGCCACAACTTCTTTTAGCTCTCATTTGAAACCCTTCATTCTTTATCAAGGTTTGGATCCTTCTGCCAGTAATTATTTCACTCACTCTCTGCTGCTCAGGATGGTTTCTGTCAAGGATTGATCCTGAATCCACCAATTAAAGCAGTGTTTCTCACCCTTGGTAACTTGAAGATGTCCGGACTTCAACTCCCAGAATTCCCCAGCCAGCATTTACCTGCTGGGGAATTCTGGGAGTTGAAGTCCAGACATCTTCAAGTTGCCAAGGTTGAGAAACACTGAACTAAAGGAATCAAAACTGATTTCTCTACACACAGCCCTGATGTTATTTCATTTGATGTTGACAGCAACTGATCCTTTACACAACCTAGAAGAGCTTGTGAAGCCTTTCTAGGAAACCCAATGCATGAAATGCCTCCTGTCGTTGCACTGACTTAAGCTTTTGCCACAAAATGCATCCGACAAACTATCAGCAACTTAAATCCATTGCTTTCATTGGTAGAGAAAATGTTAATATTTCCAATGCTTTCCTCAAGAACAGGAGCAGACAATCTGTTTTGTATTCAAGGACCATGTTTCTTTTCCTCCTCCTCTGTGGACTTCAGATGGCATGACAGGGATGTTGTGTGCAACATTGCTGAATTAAGGAGAAGGGTTGGAGGCACTGGAATTTCACTGTAATAGATATGTTGTAATCAATGGCATCTTAATTACATCAATTCAGTTTTTTGTTTTGTTTTCTGTGAAAAGTTATGTTCTGGGAGAGTGGAAAGAAGGCCAGGAGACAAAAATGGCCACACAATATGGGCTGCCGACTTTTTCTGTAGAATATACTCTTTTGTGCCCGGTTTGGTGACTATCAAAGTCATCTGGCAAATAGATAAGACTTCCCTTTATTTAAAGATAAGATGGACAAATCAATTTGGTAGGTTCAGGAGGGAACTATAATATGTTCCCAAGGACACAGAGAAAATAGAGATCCAGTGGTCGGGTAGAACAAGTGCGTCTTTTCACATACCCAAACGTTATTTGCACATTGGCACAGTTTGACTTTTTTTTCCATTTGGGTTTTGATTCCATACTTGTTTTTTTGTTTCCTTGTGCCCGTGACCCGTCAAAAGCGCGTTCCACAAAAGCGCGGTCGACGAAATCGCGTATGTGACGTCATCACAGCGCGACGAAAAAGATCGAAAAAGATAGAAAAATGTAAAAATAAAGCTAAAACCTTCCCCTAACCCCCCCAAAGCTAACCCTAAACCTAACCCTAAACCTAACCCTAAACCTAACCCTTAACGTAACGAAAAACCTAACACTAACCCTTAACCTAACACTAAACGTAACGCTAACGCTCTAACCCTAACCCTAACCCTTAACCTAACCCTAACCCTAACCCTTAACCCCTAACCCTAACCCTTAACCTAACCCTAACCCTTAACCCTA